TTTGGCTCAAGGAAAAAGAGACCTCACAGTCACTGCCCTACTTAAGTATAAGTTGGCCGGGTTAAGGGTTTACTCTTACCTGTGTTGACTTTCCCAGGGTTCTGTGTCTGTTGACTAAGTTAGGGTAAGGCCATGCTCTCCTTCCGGTCAAAACGGAATTGTAACCCTAAGGGTCCAAAGACCCAAATATTAGGGCTTTAGGGCCCAAATACGATTAGTATCATAGTATTTGGGCTCTGAAGCCCTATTATAGGGGTCCTTGCACACTGAGACTAATCAGTATGGCCAGACTTGGTTCAACCACCCTGACAACCCTAAGCCCTCCACGCTATTCGTAAATAAGCAATAGCTTTACTCTATGTCTTCATAGTATTCCTATATATCCCCATAGAGGCCCAGATCTCCCCATACATCCCTACCCTAATCCCTAACCCTAATCCCTATACATCTTTGTACACCCCCATACCGTCAAATTTGTAGTCTCCTCAGGAATTATTCTTCATTTTCACTGTATCACAGCCCTAGGGAACTATTCCGATTACTATTTCTATCATGGGTGTAGGAGGGGCGCAGCAATCGCAGCAATCCCGATACATTTCTACCCTTAAGCCCTATAAGCCCTATACATCCTTGTACATCCCTATACCCTCAACTGGGCTGCTGTTAAGGAAGTTCAAGTAAGTCGCTATAAGTCGGCAACCTCATAGTTATTCCCTAAGGACCGAAATAATGGGGTTTTAGGAGTATTTGGGCCCAAATGCCCCATTATTTTTGTCCTTGGACCCTTCGGGTTTGCTATATAACCTCCCTAAACCCCAAACCTTAAACCCTAAATCCTAAACCCTAAACCCTAAACCCCAATTGTGCTCAGGATCTGAGCGGGTCTTTGCGCAGGCCCTGAAACAGGCTGCGCGGAGCCCGGACTCCAGGTTTGCACGGTTTGTAGGGTTTTGGGGGTTTAGGGTTTAGGGTTGAGGGTTTAGGGTTTAGGGTTGAGTGTTTAGGGTTTAGGGTTTTTGTGGGTCTGTGCTTTTAGAGGTAAGAGTATAAAGAGGTACCGGCGCCTGTCGTGCGCCCTGTGTTCTTGCACATAGCAGGCTATGCATACAGCCAAAACCCACAGAAAACGCATGTTTCATAGTAGGTTGTAGGATGAGGCAAAGGCGAAATCCGTGAAACATACCATATCTCTAGAAGAACATTGTGCAAGAACTGAGGCGGAGCTAAATTTTTGCGCAGTCTTCTTGCGAACCTTTGTCAGCCCTGTACTTCTGGCACGGGCCGGCCAAAACTTCGAAGTGACTCTCGATGTCGGTCAAGGCGAACGTGCGAAATCCGCCGAGATCATCGAAGAAAAGGATGACCAACGCAGCGAACAGCAGCAAGCTGACCCACCGCAGGTCTGTGGGCATTGTAACCCTGCTGGTGAGCCATGAGCTACTCCAGGTAACTGCTCAAACAAAATGTGTGCCCCCCCACCCCAACCAGAATGAT